TCCTCACCTCTTTCTTCCCCTTCTTTTCTTATTCTCCTCCTTATTCTTTTTTCTTCTTAAGATTTCTGTGTTTATTTGAAAGACGGAATTACAGAGAGAGAGCTTTCATCTGTTCTGTGGCCAGATGGCTGCAACAGCCAGGGCTGGACAACACTGAAGACAGGAGCCTGGAGCTTCTTCTAGGTCTCCCTGTGGGTGCAGGGGTCCAAACACCTGGGCCATCCTTTGCTGCTTTCTCAAGCCACCAACAGGAAACTGGATTAGAAGTGGAGCAGCTGGGACTTGAGCTAGCACTCATCTAGGATGTGGCTGTTGCAAGCAGCAACTACCCTACTGCACCACAGTGCCAGCTCCTGACAATGGTGCTTTGTTGCCATAATCCCACATATCTACCTCTGTGCTCTTATAAAGCCACCAGAATTGACTGGTTTATTTAAAGCAATTTTTAAATTGTTTTCAAGGCAGAAAGAGATCTTCCACCCACTGGTTCCCTATGTCTGCAACAGCTGGTGCTGGGCTAGACTGAAGTCAGGAGCCTGGAACTTAATCAGAGTGTTCATATGGGTGGCAGAGGCCCAAATGTTCTAGCCATGACCGGTTGCCTGCCATGGTGTGTATTAGCCAGAAGCTGGAGTCAGGGCGCTGGGGCTGGAAGCAGCCACTTGGACTTGGGATGTGGTGTCCTAGGCAGCCACTTGAATGCTGTGCCCAGAGACCACCCCAGTCAACAGAATTTGATCTGGGGGGTTCTGCCTGGTAACCCTAATCCAATCCAATTACTTTCCAAAGGCCTTACCACTGACACTGATTGGGTCGTTTCCACCCTTTTAGTAGCATGGAAGACCGCAGAGACCAAACCCTTGATTTGGGGGGGAGAAATATTCAATCTTGTTACAGTCCTTTGTCCTTGACGTAGAAGACTATCTTCTCCTGTGTCACCACGTGGACTTCCCTCGGCGTGTGTCTGTGCGTCTTCTAAGGACTGCAGGGCACTGAAATGGCCTCCTTTCCCCTTCACTGCCTCTTCAAAGACCTGCTGCCCAAGCACTTGGGGTTAAGGCTTCCACATCTGGATTTGCTTTGCTAAGTACCAGCAGTAGAACAGGAAGCCACATGCAGACACTCAATGGGAAGAGCAGGATGAATCCCCAGGTCACGTCTATCTTTTTCTCTTTAAAATTTATTTATTTGGGGGCCTGATGTGGTAGCCTAGTGGCTAAAGTCCTTGCCTTGCATGCAACGGCAAGCATCTGCTGGTTCATGTCCTGATTGCTCCACTCCCTTTCCAGTTCCCTGCTTGTGGCCTGGGGAAACAGTGGAGGATGACTCAATGCCTTGGGATCCTGCACCTGCATGGGAGAAGGTCCTTTAAAAAATATTTATTAATTTTTATTGGAAAGGCAGATTTATAGCTAGAAGGAGAGAAAGAGTTTCCATCCACTGGTTCACTCTTCAAGTAACCACAACGGCCTGAGCTGAGCTGATCTGAAGCCAGGAGTCAGGAGCTTCTTCCAGGTTTTCCATGTGGGTACAAGATCCAAAAACTTTTGGCCACCCTTTACTGCTTTCCCAGGCTACAATCAGGGAGCTGGATGGGAATTGGAGCAGCTGGCACACATGCTGGAGCCCATATGGGACACTTGCAAAGGGAAAACTTAGCCACTAGGCTATTGCACCAGGCCCAGAACATCCATCTTAACTGTTGGAATGTGGATGACTTGAGCAGGAAAAATTAGGGGCAGGGTTTCCATGCTGGATCTGATTAGGGTTGGAGTTGCATCAGAAAGCACGAGGAGGCACCCCTCCCCCTGCCATAGTTGAGACTCAGTATTAATTTCCTTTCATCATTGGAAACTTGTTCAGTTGAACACAATTTTAAAGACTTGAAGAAGTTCTTTGTTGCTTTATACAAAGTTTTAGAGAAACAAGACCCAAGCATGCAGCGATTTAATCCTCTGCCTGTGGTGCTGGCATCCCATCTGGGCGCTGGTTTGTGTTCCAGCTGCCCTACTTTTGATCCAGCTCCCTGCTTGTGGCCTGGGAAGGCAGTAGAGAACGACCCAAGTCTTGCGCCTTTGCAGCCACGTGGGAGCTCTGGAAGAGACTCCTGGTTCCGGTTTCGGCTCAGCTCAGCTCCGGCTGTGGTGGTCATTTAGAAAATGAACCAGCCAATGGAAGATCTTCTCTCTTTCTCTCCCTCCCTGTGAAGTTTTCCTTTCAAATGAAAATAAACACATCTTTTAAAAAATTTTTACTCTCTTCCTATCTGTGCCTATGGCAAAATCAAATGAAAATATATCCATATAGTTTATATAACTATAAGAGGCTTTTGAAAAGTTTATGGTCAATGTATGTTACGGAAAAAAATGAATAGATTTCAAAACTTTTTTTGCACCCAAAGCAACTTATCTTTTGATTTGATTTTTCCATAAACATTCATTTATTTAAAGGTGAAGAGACAAAGAAAGAGAGAGAGAGGGAGAGAGACAGAGAGAGAGAGAGAGAACGCTCTCATATGTTGCTTCCTTCCTCAGATGCCTGGAACCACCACGGCCGGGCCAAGCCAGCCAGGAGCTCGGGATGCAATCCAGGTGTCTCACGTGGGCCAGAAAGGGCCTGACTACTCCAACCATCACCTGTTGGCTTCCAGTGTACACATTAGCAGAAAAGCAGAATTGAAAGTGGAGCCAGGATTTTATCATAGATACTCTCTATCAGGGGGTATGGATATCCCAAGCAATGGCTTAGCAACTGTGCCAACACATGCCCCAACACACTTTGTGAGATACTCTCCTATAACTAGTTTTGCACTGGATTGACTTGAATAGAATACACTTGTCCTAACCCTGCACAAGGTCAAATACATGTGATTCATCAATGGGCAAAAAGCAAGAGCTTTACTCCTTCCTGGTACTTCTTAATGGCGACTACTTTCTATTCCATGTTAGAGATAGGGAAGTGAAAATGTGCGTTTTCACCAAGTGCTGTGCACGCCGCATCATGGTACTTTCTCAGCAGCCCTGGGACTCTCACAAAAGCAGACAGTTCTAACAATCGCTTCCTGGGGTCTCCCAGGTGACAAGGACCAGAGCTAGGCTTCAGCTCTAGGCTGGCCTGCCTATAGACCTGGAGCACTCTCACTTCCTGTCGCAAGGGTCCCATTTTCCAGAGCTGGTCTGTTTTTAGGAATGCTCACTCACTGAGTTTCGGAAGCCCGAAAAGCACAGCTTGCAAGTTAGCTCGGGGATTTGGTAGGCCATGGAATAGCAGATGTTTCAAGGGCACCAGTCCCTGCCACAGAATAAGGCTGTGTCATCCAGGCACAGTAGCCGGAGCAAAAGGACAAAGAGGCCCCAGTGGTGATCATGGGTAATGGGAGTTTTGTAGCCTTCCCTGTTGCCAGGGTCTCTGGTGTGTCTGAATCTGTAGCTCTTTTCTGAGGTGAGGATCCTGCTCCTTAGAGCCTCCCAGGGCTGCAGTGGTAAAGCTACCTGTTGGCAGCTTTGTCCTGAGCTCAGCCAGTGACCATTCCCCTAGGCCAGTGCTAGGTAAGGGCTGGAGCCGGAAGGAAGGTGACCTCCAGCTCTGTGCTCCAGGAGCTCACAAGGGCCTGGCAGCACAGAGCTAAGACACTGAGCCCGGTTTCATGAGTGTGAGTGGGAAAGGTATGCAGAGATGGAGCCCAAACTCAGCTGGGTTACTTGTGGGCCAGTTGAAGTTGGTTAGGCATGACGGAAGGGAAGAGCATTTATTTAACAAACTTGCTAGCCAGTGTTATTTATGTAAATGGCAGAATGAAAGAGAGAGAGAGAGAACTCTATTACCTGCTGACAACACACTCCCCAAATGCCTGCAACGGACAGACTGGCTGGACTAAAACCAGGAACCAAGAACTTCCCTAGGGGCCCAAGTGCTTGAGTCATCACCTACTACTTCCTGGGGGGTGTGCATTATGGAAGGGAACCGGGTGGGCACAGAGCACACAGCAAGAGAGAAGCCTTGAGCTCCAGCAGGAGATGGAATTCAAGGTCAAGTGGAGGGTTGGTATCGGAAGTGGCTTGGTGACTGGGCTGCAGCAGTTCGGCTGATGGGCACTGCCATGTGCAACCTCTTTGGGAGCCTCCCACAAGCAGGTACAGTGTTTCCTCCAGAGCCCCCCTCACTCCCAGCTTGATTTTCTGCTAGTTCTGAGATTGCAGCAGAGTGGGAGACCATGCTCATCTTTCAACACTAAAAAGCTTGCATTCAGGGCTCCTCTGAGCATCTATGCCCTGGCTGTCACCAGCCTCTGCTGATGGTGTGGGCTGAGCGACAGGAGCTGATGTGCGGGTCAGCTTTGCGGGGCTGTGAGCTGAATGGCAGGACAGAGTTGGCAGCACCAACTAGTGGTGAAGGCTTCATTTGGTTGCTGTTTTTCAGGTACCCTGGGCCTTGGTAGAGGGCATGAGGGGTTTCCTCCAGAGATGTAGGAAACGCAACAGGCTGAGACCTGAATGCCAGTGGCTGTGTTTTCACTCACCTTCCAGAGTTCCTGATGCCCAGCACTGGTCCAGCAGGGCCCTCTGTTTGGGCAGATTTGCCCCTGAGAGACTCGTGACCCCCAGAATACATCACTTGTCTCACCTTCATGTGCCACAGTGCACCTTCCAAGCCTGGTTGTGTTCCGTAGACCAAAACACAACAGAGAGACAGAGAGAGGAAGAACTACTCTGGGGGAGCTTTGAATATATGATCAGGGGATTTCCCATTACGGAAAAACTCCTCTGGTTTTAAAAAAAATAGAATTAAATAAATGAGACAGAAATAGTAAGCAGTGTAGGACACCTCTAACATACCACAGGCCTGGTGACTTCATCAACCACCAGATTCTCACTTCAAAAATGTTTTAAAAATAAAGGGTAGGTGGGTGGCGCAGTGGAGTTGCAAGATAATCCTTTGCCCCTAGCATCGGCATCCCATATAGTTGCTGCTCCGTTTTTGATCTAGCTCTCTGCTTACAGCCTGGAAAGGCAGCGGAAGATGGCTCAAATCCTTGGGACACTGTAACCGTGTAAGAGACCTGGAAAGCAGCTTCGGACCAGTCCTGCTCTGGCTGCGGTGGCTGTTTGAGCAATGAACCAGAGGATGGAAACTAGCCCTGTCTGTCTCTCCCTCTCTCTTCAAAAAAACTGCCTTTCAAACAAAACTTTAAACATCTTTAAGAAAATAAAAGAGTAGGTGTTTAACCCCCACTTTCCTCGTAGGAATTATGCTGATTGCTGTCTTCCCTCACATACTGTAGGTCGGATTGGCTGAGCCTGAATCCCCAGTGTAAACTGGGGGGTTTAAGTGATGCTGTGGGAGCTCAGTGGGTGGTGAAAAGCAGATCTTTCCCACTGTTCCTGTTTGAAAACTGGGATTCAAGTTACGGTGTGATGTGGTGAAAACTGGAAGCTTCCATGACCAGCAGAAGGAGTACCTTGATTGTCCAAGGCAACATGGCTTACCAAGAGCTGAAAGCAGAGAGCAGATCCTTGGGAAACATTTTCCCACCGGAATAGGGCAGGACACAGGACCAACTCATTTACAGATAGGATACAGCCTCCTGCTCCTGAGAGCCTGAGCCACACTCCTGTTGAATATCTCCTAGAGAAAGGCTAGCAGAAAGGACAGAGGAAAAAGCTGGGATGACCCAGAGAACACTCTGAAAAAGAATCCAGACGAGGTTCCTCATAGAACATTCTGGAACAGGACCCTGACTGGGCTTGCACATTCTGGAACAGGACCAAGGCTGAGATTCCTCATAGAACATTCTGGAATAGGACCCAGGCTGGGAGTCCAATGGAACACTGTGGAACAGGACCCTGCCTGAGGTTCCTCACAGAGCATTCTGGAACAGAACCCAGTCTGGTGTTTCCACAAAACATCTGGAATAGGATCCAGGCTAGAGTGAGTGATTCATGGAATATTCTGGAACAGGTCCCAGGCTGGAGTGAGTGCCTCATGAAACATTCTGGAACAGGACCCAGGCTGGGGTTCCCCAAGAACACTCATCAACGGATCTGACTGGGGTTCCTCAGAATTCTTGTTGCAGTGAGGACCACATTTGCTCCCACAGATTTCTGTGTGGACTTCTATGAGCTCAGGCTCTCTGTGAGCCATCTTCTAAATGCGTAGTGTAGTCAGTGACGGGTAAGGGCCCGCATGCAGACATTCTAGTATGACTGACTGGCATTGTGAATTATGCAGTAACTGAAGCTGCAGGGTGGGCAGCTGAGGAGACACATGAATAGAGGAATGCGTGAAACGTGAGGGGATGTGAGGAGGTTGTTCAGGGGCTAAAACTGCAATGAAGAACAGTGACCTGAGAGAGAGGTTGGAAGTTCATGATTAGCATGTAAGAGGTTTCATAGCAGCTCAGAGCTTCTGGAAGTTTCAGGAGGTTTCATGGACGTCTTAAGCGTAGGAAGGCTGAGTGTTCAGCCTGCAGGTGTGTGAGAAAGTCTCTGATGGGAGAGTAGATTGTAGAATGGGAACAAAGCAGAGAAAGGAGCTTTGGGTCTGTGGGGTCACCCAAATGGGATATGGAAGCATTGTCAGGGGAAGTGAGTGACTGATGAATGGGGCCCAAGCAGACGAGAGGCTCTGATCCTCAAGGGCCTGCCGTGTGTTGCCAACGGGAATAAACAACTGCACTAACACACGGTAAGACTCTTGTATTATCCTGTCTTGTTGAACAATGAGATTCTGCCGTATGGTGCAACGCAGAGAAACCCTGAGGACGTGATGCCAAGAGACATCAGTCAGTGACAAACCAGCAAAGACTGCTGGATTCTGCTTCTCGAGACATCTAGAACAGTCTAAATCATAGGGACAGAAAGCAGACTAGAGGCCAGCCGAGTGGGGATGTGGGTGATGGGGAGTCACTGTTAAGTGGATACAGAGCTTTGGATTGGGAAGTTGGGAAAGTTCTGGAGGTGGATGCTGGTGACGGCTGTGTAGCAGAATTGGACATGTCAAATGGACTCAACGCTCAGTTTCTATTTAACTCAGCTTAATAAAAAGGCTAACAAAGCTATAATATGGCAAAATACAGTTGTCTGAAGTGTGAATGCCATCTCGAACCCTTCCACAAGCCCTCCATGAGCTTTCACTCACGGAATTCTCACTGTGAAGTTGGTGCTGTCAGTTCCCCGAGAATGCCAGGCACCAGGCAAGGTACTTTACGTGGCTTGTTATGGGGAAACCCTACAAGCTGCATCAGAGGGACTCATTCTACAATGCTGAGCCCTAAGGGCTAAAACCAAAACCAAGCAGAAACCCTACACAGGAACTTCAGAAAGTTCATGGAAAATGGAATTTAAAGACAGATGTATTTGGGGGCAAGCGAATTTTGGCATCTTTGTCTTGATTTTCTGATCACGCATTTTCTGTAGAGTTAGAGAAATATCTAAAAAGGCTTAGCACCCTCAGGTTGGGTGCACTGGGAGGCCACCTGACTTCTCTATGCTGTCTTTTTTAGCACCACGTGAGCCAGGATTAGTCGAATCACAGAGCGGTCAGCTATTTGTTCAGGGGGCATATATTAAGCATTGGCTGTATATTCAACTCTGCAAGTGTTACTAAGAAGACCAGAGAAGTAAAAAATGTTATCCTAGCCGTCATAGGGTAGGCTGAGCTACATGATGCCCCATAGCAGATACAGGCATCAAACCATCCCAGATTGCTCAACACCATCCCCTGCCATGAGCTGTTGGATGGAAAGGGAGTGAGGGTGGGGAAGTTAGTTGGGCTAAACTCTAGAGTCAGGACTTGCTGGAAAGGAGACATGGGGTGTGTATTTGATGGACAAATCCAAATATGTCATCTGGTCCATGTACCAGATTATCTCCTAAAAGACGTTGAAATCCACCTTCTGGTCCTATGGGTTTTGGGTGGATTATTAATTTGTATTCATCACATGATACGCCACGTGAAGCAGACGTTTTTGCCCGGTGCTTTACCAACATGACCTCATTTCATCTTCAGAGTAACAGTAGTAGGCACGTCTCATTGTTATTCTCATTTCGCAGATGAGGCAACTGAGACCAGGGAAGACAAGTGACTTGTGGAAGGCCACAAACTTGGAAGTGACTGGCCAGGTTGAACCTCAGGGCCTCTAGTCTGGGCAGCAGCACCTCAGGGGCACACCCTTTGGGGGGATGGTTTTAGAATCAAGGTGAAGTTGAAAGTTCAGACTGTAGCGGTTCAAGGAGGAAAAAGCTGGGCGGAGGAGATGGGTCCCCCCCCAGGGACGGAGAGGGGGCTTACCCATCTTGTGTTGATGTGCTGAGAAGGGAAGGGAAGGTTGAAAGTAACACCTGAAATTAGGTGGGCTCAGGTGAGCAGTCAGGGTTGGGGTGACAGAGGAGTTGGACTTTGGCTTACACCTGCTGCGGCTACAGTTTAGCCAGCACAGATCCCCTAGAGCGCCTTCGTTCTGGGTCCTCAGTTCTGGCCTTTAACTGTCACCTACCCCCACACATAAGCAAGTGCCCTCAGGCCAGTAGCCATTCCCTTTTCTCTTGAAAGAGGAAGCAGCCCCAAGAGGTCCCCTTCACCCACTCGATGTGGTCTGAAGAAGAGGAACATGAATCTGATTTGGAGTTTTTGAAGAAATCTTGTTTGATGTGGTCCACATCCGACTTCTTCATTTGCTGGTCCGACTGGGACTGTGGGTGGCTGTTACGGAGTGGGGACCGGCCAAGGGGACTCTCTCAGCCAGGGGCTCCTGAGGGTGGAGTTTCCCAGCCTCAGCTCGGTGAGTCCTTGTGGGTCTCCAGTTATGGAGCATGGCTTCTGGAACCTTCTCTAGGCAAAATGTAAGACGCTAAACTAAACATTCTACAAAAATAAGCCTATGATTTAAAAAAAAAAATGAGCCTTTAACAACCAGTATTTTGGGGAGAGCAGGGGGGAAAGGAAAGTTATCTCGTTTTTCAAATTTGTTTATTATTTTTTTAAAGATCTGATTTTTAAAAAGATTTATTTATTTTTATGGGAAAGGCAGATATATGGAAAGGAAAAGAGACTGAGAAAGGTCTTCTGTCCACTGATTCACTCCCCAAGTAGCCACAATAGCCAGAGCTGAGCCGATCTCAATCCAGGAGCCGGGAGCTTCTTCCGGATCTCCCATGCAGGTGCAGGGTTCCAAGGCTTTGGGCTCTCCTCAGCTACTTTCCCAGGCATGTTAGCAGGGAGCTAGATCAACAGGGACTCAAATAGGCCACTCTGATTTGAAATGTGAGAGCCCCAACTGGTGGCTTAACACACTGTGCTACAATGCCTGTCTTGAGTTATCATCCTTTTCCTAAGAGGTCAGAAAATTTGGGGCTGGTGTTGTGGCACTGCACATTAAGCGGATGCCTGTCATGCAACAGTTAGAACCTCCCTGTCTTTCTTCCAATTCAGCTCCTTGCTAATGTACTTAGGAAAGCAGCAGAAGATGGCTCATTATTTGGTCCCCTGCTGTCTATGTGGGGGACCTGGATGGAGCTCCAAGCTCTTGGCTTCAGCCTGGTGTCATTCCAACTATTTGTGACCATTTAGGGACTGAGTCATCAGATGGAAGGTCTCTCTCCCCGTCTCGCTGGTCGCTCTGCCTTTCAACAAGTAAGTATTCTTTTATTTTCATTAGGTCAACCAAAATGTGGGGCCATCAGCTGTGTATCTGCAAAGCTGGGGTTCTGATCCTGGCTCCCTCATGTATGACTTTGGGCATGATTCTCTCTCTCTCTCTCTTTTTAAGATTTATTGATTTTTATTTGAAAGGCATACTTATAGAGAAGAGGAGGGGAGAGAGAGAGAGAGAGAGACATCTTCCATCTGCTGTTTCACTTCCCAAATGCCCACAATAGCCAGAGCTGGGCTAGTCCAAAGCCAGGAGTCTGGAGTCTCTTCTAGGTCTCTCATGTGGGTACAGGGCTCCCAAGACATGGGCCATTTTTTTTTTACTGCTTTCCTAGGCATATGAGCATGGAGCTGGGTCAGACATGGGACTCAAACTGGCACCCATATGGGATGCTGGCACTGCAAGCAGAGGACTAACCTACCATGCTATGGTGCTAGCCTCTGGTTGCGATTCTTGATATCTTAATAAAATGGAGCCATGATTGGCCTGTCCTCTCTGGGAGGATGGAGCAAGAGAGCATCCATGGGCAGGTTTTGTAAGTGGTAAGGCCTGGCACTGCCTACTCATGGCCTTAGTGCACACAGTCCTTGCCCTGAGCCTGTTCTGATTCTGCTTTTCTGATGGAGGGGGGACCCATGTGGATCCCTCTTTGGGCTTGGTGGGTGTAGCCAGGTCAGGTCACAGGGGCAAAGGAGTTCCCTCTGCCCCAGTTCCAGGGACTTCACCCAATCAAGCCTTCTGTCTTGGCTCTGATGTGAACACACAGGACCCCTTCCATCTTGCAACCATGTCTCCCAGAGTGCGTCTCAGTGGAAGGGACAGGAGGGATGAAGGAAGCACGGAGGAACTGCCACCTGACTACAAGGCAGAGGAGGCATAGATATGAGATGGGTACAAATGGACTCTATTTCCTTGGCTGAAAGGGTGGGATCTGGGCTAGATGACCTTGGAAGGAGTACCACTGGACCCTGATCTTCTGCAATGACATGGGCCAGAGCTCCTGAAGTGGTTGTCTCATAGCAGAGGACTGTGTCCTGGGTTCCTGCATCAGCCTCACGGGGAAAACTGCAGCTGCCTCCTGGCTACCTAAAGGTTTGCTTTCCTCACCCATTTCTGAGCTCCCTCCCCTCTGCTGTCCTTCCAGCACTCTCAACACGTAGCCTGTGAGATCAAAGGGCCGCAAAGGGCCTCCAGTCAGTGAAGATATCTAGCTTTCTGAAAGAAGTGGAGCTTGCCTTGAAGCAAGACAGAGAAGTGAAAGCTGGATCAGCAAGTCACTGGGCCCTGGGGGCTTCTACGTGCCTCAGGAATGATGCCTTAGGTCTGCTCCATTTGCTTTCTCTGATTTCCCTCTGACTCTGCAGGCTTCCTACTCGCCCAGTCTTGCCAGAGTTCCTTATTCCCTGGAGAGATGAATGAAGGTGTTCAGGCCCATGTGAGAGGCAACGTGTGAACTGTCACAGCAGGACTATGCACCCGCATGGCCTGTCTTCATTGCAACACAGGTATGTGACAAATCTGCATAAGCTCTCGGGGGAGTTGGGGGGACGGAGTAAAGCCTCAGTGAGGACTGCACGACATACAACTGTGTGGTGTCACGTGCTACTGGGCTCACCTCATGCATGCCTAAGTCATGACTGAAGACTGATGCCAGCTGGGCTTACAGTCCAGCCCCTCTCCAGGTAACTCTATGTTGCTTCTCCTTGATTGCTTATTGCTGCTATAGCATCCACCAGCTACAGCATCCTCCTTGAAGTGGTGAGCAGTTTCCAGCTCTAAGCGATTCTGCACCTGCAAGCCAACTTCCAATGCACATGCGGCTAAAATGTGCAGACACTAGGGTGGGCTTTTGGTGTTATGGTTAAGATGCCCTTTGGCCTGGGCCCACTGGCGTGGCCTAGTGGCTAAAGCCCTCGCCTTGAACGCGCCGGGATCCCATATGGGCACTGGTTCTAATCTCGGCAGCTCCACTTCTCATCCAGCTCCCTGCTTGTGGCCTGGGAAAGCAGTCGAGGATGGCCCAAAGCTTTGGGACCCTGCTCCCATGTGGGAGAACTGGAAGAGATTCCTGGTTCCTGGCTTCGGGTAGGCACAGTACTGGCTGTGCGCTTACTTAGAGAGTGAATCATCGAACGGAAGATCTTCCTCTCTGTCTCTCCTCCTCTCTGTATATCTGACTTTCCAATAAAAATAAATACATCTTAAAAAAAAAGATGCCCCTTGGCTCACCCACATCTACATTATGGCTTGCTCCACAGTCGTGGATAGCCAGGAAATCTTCCTTCTGCTGGTTTACTTTCCTCAATGCCTGCATCAGCCAAGGCGGGGCCGGGCTGGAAGAAGCTGGGGAGCGGGAATTCCATCCTGGGTCTCCCACGTGAAGGACAAGAACCCAGGTCATGTAGCCATTGCCCTGGCCTAAGCAGGATCTGGTTGGCAGGAAGCTAGAGTAAGCAACCATATCAGGGACTTGAACTCAAGCATTCTGATGCAGGACTCGGGCATCTTTAGAAGGAGATAAAACACATGAGCAAAACCCTAAAGATTTAACATCAGCTCTGTGGAGTTTTCCCTGAGCGAATGGATCCACCAGTGGTCCAGCTCTAAACAATACTGCCAGTTGGTCCAGCTGTCCTGACCAAGGACAGGCCGCCCCTGGCCAAGGCAAAAACCAACTCGTGCTTCTTCAGGGGCTGCCAGCCGCATCCTTTGTCCATTAGCTCAGTGTGCCTGCCGGGTCTGACATCCCGAGATTACCTCCGTTATCTTTCATCAAAAGCAATCCCTTCCTCAACTTTAGGGCTTTCACTTATCATTTGCTGCTTTTCTCCAAAGGCAAGCAGAAGAATCCTGATCCCCACAATTAATTTTACAACCCAGTCATTATGACTTCTTTTGAAATCACCCCCAGCCTCTCTGCTAAGTTTTAGAGCCTCCATTTTCTTGAGAAGTTAAGCTGGGAGTACATAGAGACCAGTGGCAAGACTGCTGCCCTGGCTCAAGAGACTCCTAATAAGGACTCTAGTTTCTCACGTGTCCTGTCGTTTGCAGTTTCTGGGGCACCGCCAGGGGCCTTATCGGGCCATCAGCCCTTCTTAGTGATTATATTATTTCCACTGATTCATGTTCAGCTGAGCCAGCTGTGGTCTCTCTTTGGATCATCTTCACGACACCTGTGGGTAGGTTTGGTAAGCAGGTCTTAGCACAGGTTGACTTGTGGGTTTCCTCTGAAAAGGTCAATGTGAAACAGGAAATGTGACTAAGAAAGACTTCTTCCTCCATGAAGCCTTACTTCATTAACTGGAACAAAACAAAACAAAAGGTGCCTGTCTCTCTCCCCCCTAGATAGTCATGACCTCGGCAGACACGTTTCAAAACAGCACATATTTCCCAAAACACTGCAACATGCCCACGAAGGCTCATGTGTGGAGTGAGAAGTCATTTGTCAGGGTTGTTCTGCCTGGGGCCTGTCTGTGCACCAGCACGTGCTGCCTGTCAATTGCGTCATCGCATCTAAGGACCTGCAGGCACCTGGGATATCCGGGAGACCTTGTGGCTGAGCTACAAGGAAAGCAGAGCCGGGAGCTGGAGCTGCTGCTCCTGTTCTCCGGGGTGGGGGCAGGAGGAGTAAGAGGGAGGGGATAGAGGAGAGGGCGGAGCCACAATGCAGATGGAGGGGGAAGATCTCTCAAGTACCAAGCTACCTTGGCAGGGCCCCTTGTCTTTCCTCCTGTTGCACACAAGCCGGAGGATGTTGTAAGGAGCATGCGTGGTTGCTGGGCCAAGCTCCTGAGCAAATGCATCCAGGGACCCTCAGGGGTTCCCTTGCCTTGGTAATTGCTGCCCTTTTAGGATGCTGCGATTTGCAACTTCGTTTCAGTTTCCTATTTACAAAAGAGAGAAATAACCGTTCTTACCTACTGGGGTTACCAATGAGTACACATGAAACATTTAGCCCAGTCTTGGTAAGTGATGCCCCGTTCATGTGGGCTATTACCATTGTGGTGGGTTGGCTAGCTCTCCTCTCATATTCAGCTCAGACCCTGGCACCAGCCAGAGGGCTTCTCTGGGGCCATGAAAGCAGCCACCCTGAGGTTCCATTTGAACCTCAGCCGCTGTCACAACAGCCAGCAGTTTGATGGCAGGGAGGGTCCAGAGTGGAGCCAACGCTGTTGGGCTGAGGGGTGCCTCTGTGTGTGTGAGATAGGGGCCCTGTTCTGGGGGTGCATGTGGCACCCACCCCTGAAGATGCACTGTGCCCTGACATCCCTGGCAAGGAACACTGTTGCCGAATGGGAGTAGGAGCTGCAGCAGACTCAACAGGGTTGAGTCCCCACGTGACTCATTCTTCCAGACGCTGCCCTTGTCTCCATGCTGGGAAATTCCGGAGTGGGGATTAGCCAGGGGGGAGGGTCCAACCCCAACCCGGCAAAGGCACCCAGATGTGTGTCTCCCAAGCATGGTGTTGCCTCATGCTGTCTTGCAGCTTCCCAAAAGTGTGGGCTTGCTGCAGTGGAGGCGGTCTGGTGTGGCACGGGACAGGACCCTCTTATGGACCCCAGGGCTTCCTGGAGGGTAACCCGCAGCTCTGTCTGCCTGCGTCAGACCTTCCCGGGGTCTTATTGCGCACGTCCATGCACTGCACGCCAAGCTGTATTTTTTTCCAGCGCCAATTAGGCTCTGTTCCTCAAGTGCCTATGGGGGGTGTGGTGAGCAGGAGGGGGCGGGTGCCTCTTCCTGAGAATGAGGCAGGTGTATCCAGGTAACAGAGATTCCCTCTGCCTTGCTGTCTCCTGCCTGAGAATGCTTTCCTGGATGATACTTGATGACCCTTTGGGTGGTCTGACTGAATGCCCCAGGGATTGACCACATTGGTTGTGTGCTGTATGTTGGAAGGGGTGAATGAGTTCTTACGAATGTGTCCTGTTGGGGCCCTGTGCGGTAGCCTAGTGGCTAAAGTTCTCGCCTTGCATGCGCCGAATTCCCATACAGGCACCAGTTTGTGTCCCAGCGGTCCCACTTCCCATCCAGCTTCCTGATTGTAACCTGGGAAAGCAGTCAAGGATGGCCCAAAGCCTTGGGATCCTGCACTGGGATGGGAGGGCTGGAAGAAACTCCTGGCTCCTAGCTTTGGGTCAGCTCAGCTCTGACTGTTGTGACCACTTGGGGAGTGAATTGGCAGACAGAAGATCTTCCTCTCTGTATATCTGACTTTCCAATAAAAATAAATAAATCTTTAAAGGAAAAAAAAATGTGTTCTGTTCTGAGATGGAATCCAAATAATTCTTAGATTCTTTAAGGATTCTCTACCTGGAATCTAGTTGGTCTTAGAAACACAGTGGGACCACACTTTCCCATGTGCTGCAATGTCATGAAATTCTGGAGATTTTTTTTTAATGGGTGGGATTCCTGAGCGTTTCTCCTTTACTGACTTGGTATATAGGAGCATAATGCTGTGATTTTCCTGTTTCTTGGTTATGCAAGTCTGGGAAGAAACAGTAGGGGGAGAAAGGCGGGAGCCGGTTGGGGTGTGCAATGTGGGGAGGCAGCAGTGTTTCCAGTTTCCTGAGAGCTTCTGGCCTGGAGCAAAATGGCTCTGGGCTGCTCTCTGGCTCACACTAGCTCGCACCCACTGGCTCTCACTTGCTCCTGCAGGCACCAGGGGCGTCTCCAAGCTCCCAGCCTCCCGGGTGTGGGTTGGAGTGAAGGTGCGTGGGCCGCCGAGGCTGGGAGCCCACCACAAGGCCCGTCTCTCCCAATTAACTCCCCGAAGGGAACAAAGCCTATTTCTTCCCCACTCCTTCACTTCTTCGTTCCCAGGCTCTGGCTGGGCGGGGGGGAAGAAACAACCCTTGGCAGTTCGGGGGTTAAAAAGAGAGCCCAGCGAGGGGGAAGCCAGCCAGGCAGCTGCAGTGCTCAGAGCACTCCTGGCCAAACAGAGACCTCAGCGGGCTCCTTGGAGACTTGAACCCTGGGCGATGGAATTTTCCCTTGCATGGAGGCTATTGTCCCGTGGCAAGGGCCAGGGCCAGGGGAGAGCCAGGGGAGGATGGGGGAGGGGAGAGGGAAAGGAGGCACGCTGCTGAGAGCCCAAGGGCTCCGTCCCACCCAGCTGGGCCTGGGTGAAAAGGCAGTGGGGTGCACCCAGCCTCCCGCCCTGGGACAAAGAGGGGGGCTGTGCCCAGGAGGCAGTGGGTCGGGCGGAGGTTTCCAAAGCCCTGGGTACCAAGTTGTTGCCCCATTCCTCAACCCTAGTCCTCCAGCCACTGGGATGGAATAAAAGGCTTGGTTCCCTTGGCAACCTAAGGGTTTAGGGTTTTCTTCACAGGACTGGGGGTGGGGGTGGGAGGAAGGGAGGTGGAAGTTGGGGGCGGGGAGGGGGAGGGGCATGCCTGTTTACTAGTGTTATTTGAGTTTGCATCTCAAGGGGAGGTTTGCAGGTTGTGGCCTGGGAATCACAGGCAACGCTGAGTGTGTGTGTGTGTGTGTGTGTGTGTGTGTGTGT